CCTTAGTGTCCAGCTTCCCCCTTACCACTAAACATGTAGGGAAAAGGATTTCTCAGATTTACGGAAGCTATGTTACCAGTGCCTCCTTCCTAGAACTTTCAAGGAGGCTGTCTGCCTCCTGTGTAGGAGGATGACAGGGAGGAGGAAGAGGAGGAGGGAGTGGGAATTTGGCTGTGGGGGTGAGCAGCATATGCAGCTGTGTGTTCCAGCTGCCTCTTTGCTGGGAACTGCTGGCTAACGACAGAGCACCCCCGCTTAACTGAAACCCTGAGGTGGACTCCAGCATGACCTGGTCTTCTGGGCCAATACAACCAGTCAGGAAGAGAAGGCAGGCACTTGGGGTGGGAATTGTAGTTTACAAAGTTCATCTGTCTCTAGCATCTAAAACTGTGCCTGGAGTTAGACAGTGGTGCAGTGGTAAACAACACTCTGTCAGGCTGGTCTACATGGAAAAGTTCTGTGTTCACTCTGGAGAGTATGCCAGGCATGTATGCACCCATGATCTTGGACTAGCTAAGACTGTGGGTAGATCACAATGTCAAGACTTTGTTTGGGGTACTGTTCTCTCTTTCTGTCTCTCATGCTAGTGGAAGAAATAAACTTAAAAAAAATAAACTTAAAAAAAACCTGCCTGGCACAGTTTTAAATAGCAGGTCCATGATAAATACTGAATGCATGGATAAGGGCATGAATGAACACTTTCACATTCAAGTATGATCTCATTCAATCTGCAAAATGAGGTACAGGCAGGGCAGGTGTTGCTTCATTTTTGCAGAATTCAAATTAGAAGAGTTTAGTGATTGACTTAAGATCATTTAACTGGAATATGGCAGGCTTGAGGCTAGACATTGTGATCTTTCCACAACACCATGTTGAATAATCTTAATATAGCATCTCAGGAATACATCTTATGACTTAACATGAACTTCCCTTTGGATTCAGTGGGAGACCAGAAAATAGCCCTTTAGGAACTCTGGACTCTGTCTGTGCTAGACTTCCAGTTCTGGTCTCAGGGCCAGGTTTGATACCCTTCTCCCTGCATACCTGGCATCTGCGCTTTTTTGAGTGGCTCCTGAAAAGGGAGCCCCTCCACCAGTCTCTGTAACCGCATCTGACTCAGGAGGTTTGGACTTCTCAGACAGAGGCAGGGGATTGGTAGCTTCACTTTGGAGTCAGGAAAATAATGAACTCACACAAATTCAGTTCCTTATTCTCTTGCCTTTGATAGATAGCCTAGACTATAAAGTTAGTTACTGGAATTCAGGCAAACAACTAACTTGTATTACAGCAAGGGCCTCCTAGGAGCTCAGAGCTCATAGTCCAAATAATGTTTCTGGAAGGAAATCTCCAAAAGCCAGTAGGAGAACTCCCCTGAGCTGAAATGCCTTACATTACCTGGCCTTTCTTTTCACAGCATCCCATCTCTTTATGGAAACAGTGAGCTGTATCGACAGGAACAAGTACCAGAAAACCTGGGTTCTAGTGCTGACTTTGCCATTCATCAATTACATATCTTCTCTTCACTGTATTTTCCTCATCTGCAAAATGGTAACAACCCTAGACTACCTCACAAGGCAATTGTGATCTTAAAGAGGAATGGTTTACATCAAAGTATCTTTAAGCACAAAACAGAAATACAATCCAAAAAATGTACAAGCCAGTACTATTTTTTAGAGGTTTTTCTATAGAGCGCATGCGCTCACCAGAAAGACCGAAAGAGACAGAGAGACAGAAAGCAAGAACTCACCCCCAGGGGGGATGGCCATGCCGCAACCCCTTCTCCATTCTCCTCTTGGGATCTTGGGCATGCACGCACATGCATCTGGCGTGAGTTTAAGCCACTGGGTCCAGGACTTGAACCACGGTCAACTACATGGGGAGTCCAGCAACATAGCCATTATGCCACTGCTGGTCCCAGCAGTACTATTTTTTGATGACAAGAATAAACAAAGGAAGAAACCTTCCAAGGTGCCTTCCAAAGTTCTCTGTTTCCACTTGTTCACTGCTTCATTCGCAATAAAGCACCAACGTGAACCAGGCTTGTACCAAGACAAAGATATTTCAGATGTGATCTTTGCCCTCAAAGATTGTGAAAGTCTACCACAGACTATGCACCAAAAGATAGTCACAAACTTCAGAGAACATGAAAGATTAGCCAGTGGAAAAGCAAGTTCTCTGGAGAATTAGAGGTGCTAAGATTGACCAGGTGAAGAGATAGCAGGAAGGAGAAGGGGAAGGAGGAGGTGGGACCTGCGTAACGGTCTCTGAGCCTCTTTGTCCAGGAGGAAATGAGGTCATCCGGCTCTTGAGATTCAGTATGACAGCCTTCAGCCAAGTAATTCGGAGTCATGAGAGCTGTGAGGGGAGCAACAGTGAATCAGACAGCCTGCTGGGAATTTCCTGATAACTAACCAAGGAGTTTCGAGGTAAGTCTTCAGGCTGCAACATCTCTGTTTATATTTTGATCACGTTTATTTACAATTAATGGGTTTGCCAATCCAAGCAAAATTGACCACAGTTTCTAGAGGAAGTAGGAGTCTGCATAGCAAGGCTGCTGAGGCCTATAGCACCTCTGACTCAGCCTATCCCCTGGGAGGCCGGCAGCTCAGCAGGCACAGAAAAACTCTCTTCAGAGGATGATGGTTCACTTGCTTCCAAAAAGCAGGACGGTGAACTTGCACTTTCTCCAGTCAGAGGCTGGCATCCCGAAACCTCTGACTAGAGTGCAGCAAAAGGCCCTTCCTCCATCTACCCTCTGGCACCCTCTCTGCCTTCCTTCTGCCCCTCTCAAACTCAAAGTCTGGGTTTGTGATGCAGCAGAATGTTGTAGACCTAGCAGGCAAAGAGACCAAACCCCAGGCTCTTAGCAAATTATAGGGACTCAGCCTCCTCCCTCCTAGTGAAAGAACCACCCCTGCTGGATGGCATCGAAGTGACCCCAAGCTCTGGTTCCTGACATTAGAGGAAAGAGATGGGGGTGACCAAACTACAATGTCCCTTCTGAGCACATGCGTGTATGTGTGCATGCACACAAGTGTATATGTGTACATGCGTCTGTACACAAATGTATGTGTTCGTTCTCAGGCAGGAAGATCAGATGGAGTCATTTATAAGTGGTCTGTCTTCCTGGAGGCCGATTTTATTTGATAAACAATTGAATTAGCTTAATAGAAACAAGGCTCTGTGATGAAGTAGTATGCCACATACACATACATTTTAAAGTATCTAATTGTCTTTTTGGAATGGTATACAGGGATGTGGTTTAAAGTTTTTAAACAGTGTAAAAGGGGATATAGTGAAAAGTAAATTTCCCTCTCATCTTGTCCTCCAGTTGTCCAGTTCCCCTACTCAGAGATGAGAACAGAACGTCCTACTCTTTCAGTTTACTGTCTATGTTAATAAAAGTTATAATAATAACTTAAATAATAATTCATTGTCTTTATTTTTAAGAATTATTTTATTTACTTGTTATTATTTTTTTAATAATTACTTATTTAATTTTATTTATTCTTTTTTTTTTTTTTTAATTTGACCAGAGAAAGACAGAGAGAGAGTGAGAAAGCAAGCCGCCAGTTTTGGGATTTGAATGGTGGTCAGCCATGTGGGCGTGTCCAGCGCCTTAACCACCATGCCACCTGCTGGTCCCCATTGTTATTATTTTTTTAATTTAACTAGAGAGAGATAGAGAGAGTGAAAGTGAGAAAGCAAACTGCTAGGTCCAAGACTCAAACCATGGTCAGCTACACAGGAGTCCAGCACCTCAACCACCATACCACCTGCCAGTTCCTTCATTGTCTTTATTAACTACTTTTATTTTTGTCCAGGCAAATAAATGAATAGTTCTTTGCAGGAAATTCCCAAAAGACCCAACAACACTTCAGTAGGAAGCATCACAGTTTGTGCCCTAAGACTTTGTTCCCACAATCCTAGCATTTCTTCCTTCCTTCTTTCCTTCCTTCCTTCCTTCCTTCCTCCCTCCCTCCCTCCCTCCCTCCCTCTCCCTCCCCCTTTCTTTCTTTCTTTCTTTCTTTCTTTCTTTCTTTCTTTCTTTCTTTCTTTCTTTCTTTCTTTCTTAGGTTTTTGCCATAGGATACATGTGCTTGCTAGAGAGAGATGGAGAGAGGGAAAGTGAGAAATCACCCCCAGGGAATATGGCCGTGCTGCAATCCGTTCTCCTCCAGTCTCCTCTAGAGGTTTTGGGCACCCATGCACACCAGCCCAGCATGATTTTCAAGACATTGTCCAGGACTGAAGAGCCCGTGGGCCATGTGGGAGTCCAATGCCTCAACCACTACACCACCTGCTGGTCCTCATATTATGTTTCTTATCCAGTCCTTATCAACTCCTCCTTCAATGACCAACCTTAAGCCAAACTGCAAATTCTCAGTAAATCTGACTTAATCTTCTCCCTATGATTACACTATCAAACACCCTTACCACTAGGTCAGCAATAAACTCAACTTTGTCTTTCTTAACACTGGTTCTGCCGTTATTAGGTGGGCATCAGGCATTAGACAAGGGCAGCCCCGTTAGTAGATGTTTGTGTGTCTGTATTTCAAGGAGTGTATGTCACATACATTTTCCACGTTTATAAAGAGACTTTGCAACTGCCCACTATGCCCCTATATCAAGGGCCAGAGTCTTCTAGGCAGGAAGAGGCCAAAGGTGAAAAAGCGGGAGAAAAACTGATTGGGGGACCCGGGGAGGAGGCTTCAGAGATAGGTGGGGGAGAGAATCTCCCTAGCGCCCTTTCCCTCTGCCATTTTTGGAGGTGGTAGGTGTTTCAGGGTCGGGTTAATGGGAGGCAGGTGGAGGATTAGATGCTTCTCCATCCTTCCGTCTACATTCAGTTTGTCTCTTCCGCCATGCCCTACTCTTTATCAAAGTCGCGGGAGCACGCGGGGTCCAGGTCGCAGCTGGTAGCAGAGAACGGGAGGGAAAGAAACAGAGCAGACAACCTGGGCGGGGGCGGAGGCGGGGCCGCAGCCGGGAGGATCCTAATATAGAGCCCGCGCCACCAGCCAGCAGCACAACGCCGAGACTGGCGCCTAGAGACCCATCCGCAGTCAGCCAGTTCCCGCAGTGCCAACCCGCGCCCGCGCCCGCGCGCCCTTCTGCCGCAGTCGCCGGTGAGTGCCTGCCGGCCTAAGCAAGTCGGGCCGATGAGCGGCGGCCCCCATTCCTGTGCACTTTCCCTCCCCAACCTCCAGCTGCCCGGGCTGAGGAGCAGCTGCGCGCCGAGTCCCCGCTTGCTGTCCCCTACGCGCCCCTGCGGGTGCCTGTCCAGGCTTGGCCGGGAGCCGGGAGCCGGGAGCCCGGAGCCCCTAGAGAGGAGAGACTGCGGGACTGGGGAGACCGGTTACCACGGACTCGCTCCACAGGAGACCTAGAGACTCCTTCTCGGAACTGCAGTAACCCACCCCGCCGCGGTCTCCTCCTCCGCTTCTTGCACTAACTTCTCCTTCCCTTGCAGAGCCTCTGTCTAGAGCTCCATGATCACCACCATGAGAGTCCTGCTGGCGTGCCTGCTTTTCTGCGCCCTAGTCGTGGGCGACTCCGAAGTGAGTGGCTTCCCTGCTATGACTTCTGTCACAGGAGGGGTAATTGCAGGACCCCTGAACGATGCCAGGGGAAGAGACAGGGCTGCATAGGGAGCTGTAGTCCCCTGGATTCTATCAACAGTAGTGCCAGACTCTCCCCAGGAAATAGACAGGTGTGGCAGTGAGGGCCTTGAGAAGCAAAGGGGTTCACATTTGCAGGCAGGGGAAGAAGAAGCCACAGGGACTATCCCAGTCTGAGGGCACCTGGTATGTGAAGCTTGTTTGAGTCAATGCATTTTTCCCTGCTGGAAACCCATGCCCTTCCATTTGAGAGCTAGTTAGATCTGAACAGGGTGAGGAGAGAAAGTAGGAGGGAAGAGTGGGCTTTGGAATTGGGGCCAGTTTATCCTCATCCTGGAGTCTGTGGACTATGGGACCTTAGGTGACACCCCTCCCCCCAAATCTTTTCCAGGGAAGCTATGAACTTCATGGAGTGTCTGATGCATGTGAGTATCCACCCCTTGCACAATAGCTGGCTGCACAAGCATCTTGGAAAAGCCTCAGGGGGCAGCCCCTCCCTGTTCCTGCTGCAGGGCTGGCTCCCCCCTTGCCTCCTCCCATACTCCTTGCTTACCTCACTATTGTACTCCCTAGCAAACTGTGGCTGTCTGAATGGAGGGACATGTGTGTCCTACAAGTTCTTCTCCAACATTCGGCGATGCAACTGTCCAAAGAAATTCCAAGGGGAGCACTGTGAGATAGGTATGGGATCCCAACTCTAACTATGAAGGAGATGGCACCAGAAATTTGGGGGCAGGGAGAGGTGGTGGGATATAAGAGCAGCTGGGAGGTAGGAGCTGGAGATGGAGTGGGTGATATCACCCTATGTGATATAAACAAACACACATCTACCATCTCATGAAGTAGTGACTGCACAAGTGTGATTGGGGATGGAAGAACACCACTTCCACTGTCTTCTTCCAGGTCTGAAACCACATCATCTTTAAAGTGCTTGTCTGAATGTTCTCCTCTTTCTAATATTTCTTCATCCTCACATCCTTCCATAGATACATCAAAAACCTGCTACTATGGGAATGGTCACTTTTACCGAGGAAAGGCCAACACAGATATCATGAATCGGCCCTGCCTGGCCTGGAACTCTGCCACTGTCCTTCTGCAGACCTATCATGCCCACAGACCTGATGCCCTTAAGCTGGGCCTGGGAAAACACAACTATTGCAGGTGAGGTGGCGGCAGCAAAAACCAAGAACCCTCCCCATGGCCTCACAGCATCCCTTGTTCCCATTCTCCTCTGCTCCCACAAAGTGGCCACAGCATGAGAAAAGTAGAACCTTTTGTTGAGTCTTTCCTGGAGAAAAAAGTCCAGGGAAGGCTTCCTGGGTTGAAATGTCATCCCCTACCCCTCTATGTGGCCAGGAACCCAGATAACCAGAGGCGGCCCTGGTGCTACGTACAGGTTGGCCTGAAGCAGCTTGTCCAAGAGTGTATGGTGCATGACTGTTCTGATGGTGAGTGTCACTTACCTGGTTATGACGTAGGTGGAAGGGGGCAAACTCATTTGTCCCCTTCCATCACAGGAGGGATGAAGTGGAAGGCCTGCCTGAGAGGGATACTTTATCCTACCTGCCTGTCCAAGACATCCTACTCTTTCTCCTCTAGGAAAAAAACCCTACACTCCTCCTCGAAAAAGCCCCTCCACTCCTCCAGCAAGAAGTCCCTCCTCTCCTCCAGGAAAATCAGAGTTTCAATGTGGACAGAAGGCTCTGAGGCCCCGTTTTAAGATCGTCGGGGGAGAATTCACTATCATTGAGAACCAGCCCTGGTTTGCGGCCATCTATAGGAGGCACCGAGGAGGCTCTGTCACCTATGTGTGTGGTGGCAGCCTCATCAGTCCTTGCTGGGTGGTCAGTGCCACACACTGCTTCATGTACGTTCCTCTTCACTTCTTTCTGACCCTCCTAGGCCACCCTGAACACAACCCTTTCTCCATTCTGGAAAAGATAACATGTCAATTCTCCCTTTAGCCCCTTCATGTAGCCCTTGCCTTTGGGAACAAGCCATGCTATAGTGGGGAGGAGGAAGTGACAGGATTTTATGAGATCAGGTTGTCTGACGGGTCTCCCCTCCCACAGTAATCACCAAGAGAAGAAGGACTACATTGTCTACCTGGGGCGGTCCAAGCTTAATTCCAACACGCCTGGGGAGATGAAGTTTGAGGTGGAGCAACTCATCTTGCATGAAGGCTATAGTGCTGACACACTTGCTCACCACAATGATATTGGTGAGTGGAAACCCCTCAACCACCATAATGGTGATGGCTGGGGTAAAGAAGGGGCTCAGAAGAGACCCAGGTGGAGGTGGAGGTTGTAGGTGAACTTGAAACTCTTGCTTTATACAACAAAGAGAGAGGTAGGGAAGAGTTCAGGATGAAATATATGGGAAGCTAGTGCTTCTCTACAGAGGCCATGAATTTCCACTTCTGAGTGGAAATAGCTCTGTGGGCATATGGCTTGAACTGGGAATGCCTTGTCTGTGCAATTTAGAAAAAGCTACCCTTTCCCCTCTTGGATGTAGCCTTTGCCTGTCCCAGGATATAGAATTTGGAGAGGAGGGCCTTGAGCTGGATTTTAGTCCAGGTACATTGGGTGGACTTTTTGTAGGAAACAGCCACTACGGCTGTATGCACCATCTCTGAGTGCCCAAGCACTTGTCAGCAGCTGGAACAAAGCTCTTGGGTACAGGGCAGGGGAGGCTTCCAGGTGCCACACAACTATCAGACCTCCTCAGATGACCTCTGCCCCAACTGACCTAGTACTAGACAGAGCCACTCCCTCAGACTTTGGAGAGGAAAGATGGTGAACACCTCACTGGGTGGTGATTTTCCCCCTCTGACTCTCCTTCTTCCCCTTTCCAGCCTTGCTGAAGATCCGATCCAACACAGGCGAGTGTGCACAGCCATCCCGGTCCATACAGACCATTTGCCTGCCTCCGATGTTTGGTGATGCCCATTTTGGCGCAGACTGTGAGATCACTGGCTTTGGAAAAGAGAATTCCAGTAAGTCATATTCAGGGCTAACTCACAGGATTCTGAGAGAAGACTGTGGAGAGAGAGGAGAGCGTGATGGAAGAGGCAGAATATCTAGGGACTGAGTAGGAACGTTATTTAGGGAGTGATGGACCACAGAGGAAAACAGATTGGGGCCCAGGGGCAGTAAGTGGGGCATAGACTCAGATTTAGGTGAGAAAAGAATAAATGTTTTCCCTGGTAAGCATGCTTTTTGGTTGTTCTCTGGCAGAAAGTCACCGTGGACAGACATATGTTAATACAAACCTTCCCTCCCCCATTTCCTCTATCTAGACGACTATATCTATCCAGAGCAGCTGAAAATGACTGTTGTGAAGCTGGTTTCCCACCAGGAGTGTCAGCAGCCTCACTACTATGGCTCTGAAGTCACCAACAAAATGCTGTGTGCTGCCGACCCACAGTGGGAAACAGATTCCTGTCAGGTAAGATTTCCAAACTTCTTTCTCCATCACCCCCAAATCTCCCCAGAGCTCCTGGACTATCCTTGCCAACTTTGGGGAATCTTTCTCCAGCCAAAGCCCCAAGAAGCCAGAATTTGGAACTCAGGGTTTTTGGGGCTTAAACCAATCTTTATGGGTTTCTCAAACATTTGTCATGAGTCTGGTTCTGTGCTAGGCACTTAGGTTTGAGGGGTGGAATGGGGGCATAAGACCAGAGAAAGAGAAGCAGTAGAAGGCACTGTAAGTCAGTACTCAGAGTGTGGTATGAATTTTAAAGATCAGATGTGTGGGAAAGGGAAGTAGGTGCTGACCAGATGGTCATGGAGGAGAGGCTTTGAAGAGAATGTGGCTTGATGGATTTGAGGAGCAGAAGGAAGGAAGGAAGGAAGGAAGGTGTTTGGGTTAAAAGATAGGAAACTGAGAATGAGTATGTTCTACATCCCAGGGTAGGGAAGACAAGCAGAGCCTAGGAGCATGGATGGAATAATTGCAGATGATAGAGCTTTTTTTTTTTTTAATTAATTAATTATTTTTTGGAGAGTTTTTTTCACTATAGGGTGTGTGCGCTCACCAGACAGACAGGGACCCATCGACAGAAAGTGAGAAATCACCCCCCGGGGGGATGGTCATGCCGTAATCCCTTCTCCTCCATTCTCCTCTTGGGATCTTGGGCACGCACGCACACGCGCCCAGCGTGAGTTCTAAGCCACCGGGTTCGGGACGTGAACCGCGGTCGACTATGTGGGAATCCAGCGCCATAGCCATTACGCTAACTGCTGGTTCCCCAGATGATAGAGCTTTGAAGAGAGGCTTTTGAACTTGATGTGGCAGGAAATAGGGAGTCACTAAGGACATTGACTCAAAAAAACCCCTCCCCACGCCGTAGGCATTGTTGGGTGGTGGGATGAGAAGCCCTCCTCCTCACTTCTTACAGAGCTTATCATTTGTGTTTTTGACTTTCCAGGGAGATTCAGGGGGACCTCTGGTCTGCTCCATCCAAGGTCGCCTGACTTTGACTGGGATTGTGAGCTGGGGCCGTGAATGTGCCTTGAAGGACAAGCCAGGTGTCTACACAAGGGTCTCACGCTTCTTGCCCTGGATCCGCACTCACACTGGGGAAGAGAATGGCCTAGCCCTCTGAGGGCCCCAAGGGAGCCGAGGGAGAAAAAAGGCATCACTTACTCCCACACTGTCATTTGCAGTAGGGTCATCTCCATCAGCAGTAAGGAAGATGGGGAAGATGGCTCTGCAGAGATGGTTTTGCTTGTGCTTCCCACCAGGGTAAGCTGCAGTAGCTTTGCCTTCAGACGTGGGCCTGGGTGCTGGCCGCCTAGACCCCCTGGCCAGGATGGAAGGGTAGTTCTGACTCAGGATGGTATTAACCAGTTGCTTGTCTTTGGGCTAAAGCCTCTTACAGTTCAAATGGCATGTCCTGTGCATGAGTGGAAGGAGAGCTAGCTCCCTTAGCAGTGGGCATTCATGAGGCCCACTACTGGGAAATGAATCATTTCCTAATGAGGAAGTGTAATAATTGAGGTCTCTTGAGGGAGCTTGGCCAATATGGGAACAGCATTTGGGGGTGTAGAGACACTATGATTTCAGCAGAGGGCTCTGGCATCCCAAGAACATATCAGGAAATATTATATATGTTTATGTACTTATGCATGGGCTGTGTGCATGTGCTGTGAGTATAAGTGGGAGTGAATAAGAGCTGGTGTGTTTCAATGTCTGACTATAAAGTCTAGATATTTCCCTGAACTGTGTGGATCGTGATGCCACAGAGTATAGCCTGTCTGGAGAAGTTGTGGGTTATACTCAGGACCCCTTGGGTCTCCCATGTGATGAAGCCTGTGAATGTGTCATTTTGGGGCACTGCCCGTGACCAGCACTAAATGCCTGTTTCACTTTCACATACATATCCCTTTCTTGGCCAGTTATCCCTTCTGACTCTTCAGCCTACTTTATCCAGTCCTCACTGGGTGGGGCGAGGACCACTCCTGTACACTGAATATTTAATAATTATATTCTGCTATTTTTATTTATATCTATTTTTGTAATTCTGAATAAAGATGATTAATAAAATGTGATTTTTCTGAAGACTTTGGCTTCTCATTGGTACTTTTATGGGAGGGAGTTGGGGAGCGTAAAAAAAATAGAAAGTAATGAAGTCATGTCAAGCCATCACAGAGTTTTTTGTGTGACTGTGTTCTTTGGGCTGAATGGAGCTTTGGGAAGTGGAGGTGAGGAGAGTTGTATTTAGGGCAGGGCCTCCACAGCACATAAAGTAAAAAAAATTGCCCATGGTGCCCATGGCACCATAAGTGGCATGCAGGTTTAGTTTCATTTGTGCGGTATATATCTTTTTAAAATTATTATTTATTTAATTTTATTTATTCATTCATTTATTTTAATTTGACCAGAGAGAGACACATGGGGGGGGGGAGGAGGAAGGAAGCCACCAGGTCCAGGACTCAAACCGTGGTCGGCCATATGGGAGTGTCCAGCACCTTAACCACCATGCCACCTGCTGGTCCCCTGTGCAGTATATATCTTGTACAACAGTACTCACTGGTCCTCTTTAGGATTAACTTTACCATATTCTCTTCACTCTGCTAACAGTCCATGGGCTGACCTCAACCCAGGAGAACACTTGCATGAGTAGAAAATGCTGATTCAAAACTCTAGTCTGAGTCTGCAGCATTCATGGAACAGAAAACAATTCCCATCATCTGTGTGTGGTGCTGGAGTTAAGTCTTCCCAGTGTGCTAATAAAGCTGATGATGTCCTAATGTGGATGATGATGTATTTTGAACCAAGCATCAGATTCCGAAGAACTGGGCAGGCTCCCAGTAGAAGGCAGGCTGGGAAATATAGAAAGAGTTGGTGACAAAAGACTGGCATTTCCAAGTTGTATTCATGAGTTTTGGCATTGTTTCTTAACCACCTGAGAACTTAAAAAGATATACAAATACACAAATTTATGCCCCATCTGTAGAGATTGTGATTCAGGTCAGGGCTGGTTCTAGGATTCATGATTTTAGAAAAGCTTCCGGGTGTTTTTGATATACACCACTGATTAAGAACCTTTTGGGAGTGATTGTTCAGAATATATGTAGGTAGGGCCTAGAAAATTCAGGATATGGTCGGAACGAGTTCTCCACATGAACAAGCAGTTTTCTGAGAGTGGATTTGGTGGTCACGGTCTTCTGGGCTTCCTAGACTATGGATTCCTGAAGTGTAAGAACCCAGATAATTGAGCTTTAAATCCCTATATCTAGCATATTGTTCTCCATACTGAGTTGCTGCAATTCAGAGTGAGGATTTTGGAATCAGGTGGCCTGGATGAGAATCCTGGTCCAAATTCTAGCTGTGTGCCTTGGGAAAGATTACTAGTTGTTTTGTGCTTTAGTTTCCTCATCTTTAAAAAAGAGATAACAGGGCCAATCAGTGATGTGATGGTTAAGGTGGCTGAAATCCCATGTGACTGACTACATGGCTCAAGTTCCAGACCCAGTGGCTTGAAAAATATTCTGGGCACTGTGTGTGTACGTACCCAAAATCCTAAAAGAAGAAATGGAGGAGAAAGGATCGAGGAGTGACCATCCTCCATGGGGAGTGCCTTCTCATTTCTCTCTCTTATTCCCCTTTCTCTGCCTCTCACTCTGATGAGTGCCTTAACCTTCTAGCAAATTAAACACAGAGAGATTAATATCCTAAAGTTGTTATACAGATTCATCAGCTCACAATCTCTGAGCATGATCCTGGAAACTAACAAAATCACAAAAACAGTGGCTATTACTACAAAGCTAAGTAAATTCTTGTAGAATTGAATGGGATCCCCCTGCCTTCTCCCATCCCAGGATTGTACTGAGTGTTTTATATGAGCAAAAACTCCCTAGGAAAGAAAAGGCATGATTTGAAGTTAAGGGGCCCAGCCCAGGCTGAGCTGTTGCCTAGCCTCTGTATTATCCCCCAGGGGCCAAGAAGATCTTGTTCAAACTTGAGCAGCTCCAGCATCAGGGCTCAGATACTCTGAAAACAGGAAGTATGAGCCCCACCAGCAGGGTTGAGCAATAAGGTTGCTAACCGTCTTTAGACCACTTCCCAGCTACCACCAGATCCCCAGCCAGACTTCCCTGAGTCTTAAATCTCATTTTAGGGACTGCCTTCTAGTGCTATGACTGAGCGAACTTCTTCACACATTGTCCAACTTAATCCTTACAACACCCGTATGAAGAAGGTCCTAACATTAGTCCCATTTTACAGTAAAGAGAGAACAGAGGCACAGAGAGACTGAGTGACTTGCACAGGGGACTGCAAATGCAAAGAGCCAGGGTTTGAACCCAGCTAGCCAGTTCCAGAGTCCATAGCCCAGCACTGTGACTTTTCAGCTTTCGGTAGGACATGAATGGGGGAAAGGACAACAGCTTTCCTCTCAAATTGCCTACTTCAGGGTTGCTGGGTTTCTAGAAAAACTATCAGAATTTCAATTCTCTCCTAGATAATAATTCTTTCTCCTAAAACAACTCCCTGCCAGATGAGGAGACGAAAGTCAACTACTAGTCTGAAAGTACAACTTCAGCCATCTTAAGCTAACCTCAGCCTTTACTGCTGAAATCTGATTTCATTGAAGTGGTTTCCGTTTTCTCCGGATCACCTCCTTCTGAAATATTCTGTGGCCTTTTCTATGATGAAGACTCAACTTGATTTCTACTTATGCCCTGTCTTTCTCAAGCCTGTACCCCACAACAGCCACACCCCTACATACAGGCCTCCACACTCACCCCCATCACCCCCCATTACATTCACTTTCCTCCCTAGCCAGAAGTTTTTGTGCCTTCCCTTTGAATTAGACACCTTTTTTTTTTCAATTGCCAGAGGGCATGTGGGCTGAAGGGAGGTGGGGGGGACTCCTCAGTGGGATGTAGTCAAACTGCAGTCTCTTTTTCTTCCATATGTCTGTCCCATCAGGATTTTGGGCACACATGCACACATGCACAGGCACCTAATGTAAACCACAAGTGGCCATGAGAGATCTGGTTCCCTTTAACTGTTAAGTTAAGGGGCTGACCTTGTGGAGGTAATTTTAAAGTAATAGTTCTATTGAGATATAATTCACACACCATACAATTCACCCATTTAAAGTATACAACTTAATGAGTTCTCATATAGAATTGTGCAACATCGCAATCAATTTTAGAACAATTTCCTCACCTCACAAAGAAATCCTATACCAGATAGCGATCACTTCCTTTTTATTCTCAACCCCCTCAGCCCAAAGCAACCTCTAATCTACTTTCTGTCTCCATGGGTTTGCCAATTCTGGACATTTTATATAAATTAAATTAAATCAGATAGTATGTGGTCTCTTATGACGTGCTTTTTTTTTTTTTTTTTTGGAGAGATTTTCACTGTAGGACGCGTGCGATTGCCAGACAGACAGAGAGAGACATAGAGACAGAAAGCGAGAAATCACCCCCCAGGGGGGATGGTCACGCCGCAATCCCTTCTCCTCCATTCTCCTCTCGGGATCTTGGGCACGCACGCACACGCGCCCGGCGTGAGTTTTAAGCCACCGGATCCGGGATACGAACCGCGGTCGACTACGTGGGAGTCCAGCGACATAGCCATTACGCTAACTGCTGGTTCCCACTTGTGACGTGCTTTTTCACTTAGTGTAATGTTTTCAAATTTAGTCTATAATTGTAGAATATATTGGTACTATTTCTGAGTTTACTTATTTATTCATGATACAATTTAATCACTTACTTTTATTTATTTATTTAGCCCAGCACTGTGACTTTTCAGCTTTCGGTAGGACATGAATGGGGGAAAGGACAACAGCTTTCCTCTCAAATTGCCTACTTCAGGGTTGCTGGGTTTCTAGAAAAACTATCAGAATTTCAATTCTCTCCTAGATAATAATTCTTTCTCCTAAAACAACTCCCTGCCAGATGAGGAGACGAAAGTCAACTACTAGTCTGAAAGTACAACTTCAGCCATCTTAAGCTAACCTCAGCCTTTACTGCTGAAATCTGATTTCATTGAAGTGGTTTCCGTTTTCTCCGGATCACCTCCTTCTGAAATATTCTGTGGCCTTTTCTATGATGAAGACTCAACTTGATTTCTACTTATGCCCTGTCTTTCTCAAGCCTGTACCCCACAACAGCCACACCCCTACATACAGGCCTCCACACTCACCCCCATCACCCCCCATTACATTCACTTTCCTCCCTAGCCAGAAGTTTTTGTGCCTTCCCTTTGAATTAGACACCTTTTTTTTTTCAATTGCCAGAGGGCATGTGGGCTGAAGGGAGGTGGGGGGGACTCCTCAGTGGGATGTAGTCAAACTGCAGTCTCTTTTTCTTCCATATGTCTGTCCCATCAGGATTTTGGGCACACATGCACACATGCACAGGCACCTAATGTAAACCACAAGTGGCCATGAGAGATCTGGTTCCCTTTAACTGTTAAGTTAAGGGGCTGACCTTGTGGAGGTAATTTTAAAGTAATAGTTCTATTGAGATATAATTCACACACCATACAATTCACCCATTTAAAGTATACAACTTAATGAGTTCTCATATAGAATTGTGCAACATCGCAATCAATTTTAGAACAATTTCCTCACCTCACAAAGAAATCCTATACCAGATAGCGATCACTTCCTTTTTATTCTCAACCCCCTCAGAGCAAAGCAACCTCTAATCTACTTTCTGTCTCCATGGGTTTGCCAATTCTGGACATTTTATATAAATTAAATCAGATAGTATGTGGTCTCTTATGACGTGCTTTTTTTTTTTTTTTTGGAGAGATTTTTACTGTAGGGCAGGAGCGATTGCCATGTAGGGCGCGTGCGATTGCCAGACAGACAGAGAGAGACATAGAGACAGAAAGCGAGAAATCACCCCCCAGGGGGGATGGTCACGCCGCAATCCCTTCTCCTCCATTCTCCTCTCGGGATCTTGGGCACGCACGCACACGCGCCCGGCGTGAGTTTTAAGCCACCGGATCCGGGATACGAACCGCGGTCGACTACGTGGGAGTCCAGCGACA